CCTCCTCCTCCTCACGGAGCGCCCCGGGAGGAAGGATCCGGAGATGGCGTCACTAACCGTCGCCACCCCACGCGCCCCGCCTCACCCTCGTGGCGTGGAGGCGCCGCTCTCTCCCCTCACCGGCTGCGCTCTCTCTATGGTGAGCCTCTTCCCTCTCTCCCTTCCTTCCCCTCCTCTCTATGGTGCGCGCCCAGGCCCCGCCCTGCGGGGGCGGCGGCCATCTTGGCCGGGTGGCGGTGGCGGCGGCGGGAGCACGTTGCGGGCCGGCCCGCCGGAGAGGGGAGGCGGTTCCCCGCTGCGGCCCGGCCGGGGAGCGAGGGGGAGCCTCGCTCTCTCCCCCATCTCCCGGTAAGCGGCCTTCCGATGGGGTGGGTGAGGGAGGGATACCGGCGTTCTCGGTAGGTTCTCTCATACTGGTGAGGGGAAAGGGCCCCCTCCTCTCCTCCGAGGGGAGCCGCCGGCGGCTTCCCGTGCTGTTAGGCCCTACCCCCGCCACTGGGCTCGGCCTTCTCCTTCAGGGCCTGGGGCTGGTTGATGGGGCTGGTTGATGGCTCCTCGCCCGGGCCTGGGTGCCGGCTGCACCGAGCTGCCCAGGAGCCGCCGTCCTCCTGGCTGAAGAGAGACCCCAACCCGCACTCTCTACAGAACCGGAGTCGCTGCTCCCGGCGTGTGGTGGGGGGATCGGCCCATCCCTTCCCATCCCATTCCATCCCTTCCCGGCTGCCCAGGAGCCGCCGTCCTCCTGGCTGAAGAGAGACCCCAACCCGCACTCTCTACAGAACCGGAGTCGCTGCTCCCGGCGTGTGGTGGGGGGATCGGCCCATCCCTTCCCATCCCATTCCATCCCTTCCCATGCCCGCACATGCGGTTCGTCGTCTCTGGCGTCATTTTCCAGTTGTACGTCATCTTCCAGAGCTGTGCTTTTTCTGTCAGCCGGCCTCTTCCTGGGGCCGAAGGAAACGTGTTCTCAGCCCCGGGAATGGCTGTGGCCTAGAGGCTCCTGGCGTCCTGGTGGCGGCGGCCCGGGGGGGACGAAGCCGGTGGTTTTCCCCTGTGAAAGCGGGGACCTCCTCCGCTGGAGGCGAAAAGCCGCGTTTTGCCTTATTTCGGGGAAAGTTAATATCCTTGTGTGGTGAGGAGATCCAGGCTTCTTGCAGGCTTGATAAGGTGATAAGGGTAAGGCTGGTTTTTGAGGGGGTTTGCGTTACGAATTGTGTGGAGAGAAAAAAAAGAAAAAAAAAGTAAAACTCGACAGGGCTTTTTTCCAGGACCATGTCAGCATTTGTCTCTGGAATGCACTCGGGTATTTCACCTGCAGGTTGCTGTGACAGTTTTCAAGCTCTAATTTTAAGTTTCCACTGCTATGGTTTCCTAAACAAGTGGTCGTGAAACATCTGTCTGATTTTCCTGTGGTAGTTTGCCAATTTATGGGTTTATTTTCATGCATTTCACTTCATGTTAAAAGGAACTATTAAAGATTGAGTGATAATTAATGCTGCTCAGCACCAGCTAAGCACACCCACTCGTTCTGCTGCGTCAGTATATTTGACCATATGCTTTTCATGTTAACATTGTGTTAATTTTCATATTCATGCCATGCCTTATGAGTAATATAATGAGTTAAATACAGTAGGGAGTTTTGAGGCTTGGTTAGACTTCTTTTTGTACATTGCCTCAGTTTCTAAAACAGATGTCAAAACCTTAAGCATTGTCTAGTTCTTAATTCTTAGTAGATTTTGTTCTTAGAGCATTTACTGTTATTTGTGCTTTGACGTTTACAAATATAGTAATCTCCCATATACAGTTTGAAAAATATCTTCTTTGACTTTCATTTAAATTTTCTTTGGCTATTCTAGTTCTTAACTTTCTTGTTATGGAGTGACTGTGTGTAGTCCATTAGCAATGGTTTGAGAGATAATTCTTGAGGTTAATCATTTTCAGAGGAAAGTGCAAATGCTGCTCATCCTCACTTCTTTCCACAGCATTTATCTTTGAGGTCAGATGCAATGTAATTTAATAAAATGTTAACTGTTTTTCTGCAAAGTAAGTAAAGTGTAGCTCAATTCTGACTACAGATCTTGCCTTCACATAAATTAATTGAATTGTCTCTGGTTACGTTTTAGTCTTCATTTACTTTTCTTTAATGTTTGTTTGTTTAAGTCTGAATGATTCAATGCAATTACAAATACTTCTTGGTCATAATTGACTTGACTTAGTAATTTCTAGTATAACTTGAATGCTTGTGAAAGGAAAAAATATTCTTAATGTAAGTACATTTGTTCTACAGATTATACATTACTGTTGTACTGTTCCCTTTTGTGACAGGTAGCAAGGTCTGCTTACATGTGCTTTTTTTATTAAATTTCTTCTGGTGTATCAGCCTAAGAATGCTGACTTAAAATGCTTGTGATAACATGTTTTATGTCTTATTTTTAGACATATTTTAGTGTTTGTATTAAGTGTCATAATTGGGTTTAATGTTTGGTTTCAATAAATGATACTGTCAAGATGTTTAGAACTGGGGTTTTGCTAGCAGTTGTTGCTCCTTCTCTCGTTCTTTCACCTGTGTCATCAGTCCATCATTCTGGAAAGATTTTCTGTTGTGACTCCATCATAATTCACTAATTCAAAAAATCGCTTTACTCTTGTGGTTACTAACAAATTAATATTTTCGTACTTTGTTTTTTGTTCTGTTCTTGATTTGGAAAGGGGAAATACAGACATGAACTTAAATGCTTCTGAATACCAGCTTCTCCTGCCCTTAATCTGCTGACTGTACTTAACAATTGCTGCTATGCTGTGTTGGAGCAGATGGATGTGTTGCTGACCTGTGTTCAGTGTGTTGAGAGTTCCGGTGTCTGCATCTTGAAATCAGACAGTCCTATTCAGTTAAATGCCACCAAAGTAACTGCAGATAAATATGGAACTTGAGTTCAGTCTGGTTTTGGATGGTATTGTTTTATTTGCTCTGAACTGTCAGTTCTAAGTAGAAATTATTATTATTATTTTGTCTTGTGGGCAATTGTCATCATAGACATCAGTGCCAGATTGCAGAAGTGACAGAAGACACAAATTCTTTTTTTTTTTTTTTTAAATGGTTTAAGACCACTGGAGAGTCTCTTCAAAACTCTTTACCACAGGTGGGCATTTCCCCATATAAGTAAGAAGGAAAAAAAAAATATTTTAGGCTCTTTATTACTTACCGACCATGGTCTGCTCAGCAATGGGGAGTAGTGTAAGCTTCGGTCTGATTATCCCACCAAGACTGGGTGGAAAGTTTGCTGGGGTAGGTGGCAAAACATAATTGTTTCAAGCCATATTTGACTTGGTCTTTTAGTGCAGCCCCCATCCCATTCTGCTGCTTTGGTGCTTTAAGCTAAACACCAGAATGGAAGGGTGGACGGCTGAGGGGAGAGTTTGTCTGGTGTGCAATCCATAACCTCAAACAAAGGTTTGGGGGATTGGACACAGGAGGTAAGCTCCTGCAGGACAGCAGCTTTGCCTCCTAGAGCTTGCTTTTGTAACCCATAGAACTAGTTATATGCTAGTTAGAGCTCAGATAACTAGCAGGGAGAGCCCTGTGACACACAGGGGTTTTTGGAGAAAGGGCTGTCCCAGATTAAACGCTTTCCTTGAGAAACCAAAGAGTGAGTGAGTGACTCACAAATACCCTGTGCAAACTACAAGACTTTTTTGAAAAGCACTGGGATAGGTTCCCAAAGAATGTGTCTGTATTTGAAGCACTGACAAAATCCAGTGTCTTTCTCCTAGAAAATTACCTTGACTCAGACATCCTTGTAGTTTTCAAGAATAAGAATTTAGATTTCTTGGGGTTTTTATGTAAGAAAAATGTATTTAAGTGAGAATTACAAACCCACTATTCCATGCCTCTTGGCCTGGTCTATGGATGTAATTGTAGTTTTCAGCCCTACTTTGTCAATCTGGTCTGACAATACAGAACTGTAAAATCAGTTTTTAATTCTTTTTTAAAATATTTGGTCATTTATTTCAAAACATCAGCTGTGTCATTAGGACTTTCTGGCTTAGGAAATGTTAAAAGAAAAACAGTTGAAATATTAAAAGTAGAAACTGCCATAACAAGGTTGGCAGCATAACTAATGTTTGCAGTCATTTATATCCAATGAAGAATATTTTTAGACATTAATTTAAAAATACTTTGGAAATTGAAAAGAGGAATAAGAGTGTCACTTTTAAAAGGAACCACTTCAAATATTCCTAAGTGTGGTAATAATGGATTTAAAGATGGAATAACATCTTCCTTTCTGACCTTTGTTACCTGTTAGATTCCAGTCTCTTCCTTTTTTTCATATTACAGTAGTATCTGTAGGATTCTGTGCAACTGAGGTTCACAGGTGGGTTTAGGGAAGAATGGAGTTTAATGTGATACATGTGCCATACACCTATTTTATTCTTGCAGCTTTCAGGAGATCGAAAGTCACAACCTTTCTTCATGTAATAGCCATATATAGTAAATGGTCTCTAAACCACTGCAGGATACTTTAGTTTGGTGGAGCAAAGATGAACTGGACATCCAACAGAAAATGCTTTCTTTAATAAGAAATGTTGGGTTCCTTTTCTTGGAAGGAAGTGCACGTGCAGACTGTGTGGAAACCTGAAGTATTTCAAGACTCTTTCCCAGTTATGTCTTTGAGCTGCTGATACATATGGCATTGGATTGAAATGATTTTGAATTGGCGTCACCAGTAGGGCTGCCACCACTTGATATAGTGGCATTGAACTGGAAATGATTTGTACTTTATTTATGGTCTTTCTTTAGACCTAAAAAATAAAACCTGTTTGTCGTCTCTAATTTCTTATAAACTTCTGAGAGCCTTACAATTCAGTTGTCTTTGTTCTGGAGCAGGAGCAGATAGAGGGAGTTGCCTTTAGGTGTGTTTTGCTCATAGGAAAATAAAGTCGTCATTATTATTGTTGTTCTCAGTATTATGTGTGAATGTGGTGAAGA